CTAGCTGCTTTGCGCCATAAAACACCAACCAACCAACCATATACTACAATAGAGGGCGCCTGGAAAAGACTAGATTTGCCAGGACAATTCACGATCCTTCTAAAAACTCATCACGTGTTACCAGAGTCACGTGACTTCCGCTGTCGTAACAGTATGTCACTTGGCAGTTACGTCAAACATTCCACTGTCTAACATTGGATAACTTTGTACATTTTGTTGTGGTTTTGACTAGAATTCAGGAGCTCCATAATGACACTGGATATTTTCATTTTTGCACTTAATCAAATATCCTTAAGTATTAACAGGGACAGCGCCAGTTTCACGTACACGTGTAGTGATAGACAGAAAGATACTAACTTAACAGGTTCTAGCCGTGATCGACGCGACGTCGTTCGATTTTCAACGCCTACGATATTGCGTTCCTGTCTCAATTGTGAGTCATGCTCTGGCAATTGCACGTGCCCTTCACGTGGTGTTAAACAAGAAGACTTGAAGCATTTTTATAAACTGCTCTACAGTGCATAATCAATAGGCGTGTCTTCCTTAAAATCAAAAGATCCCATGCAGTTAACTTTTTTTAGGTTGAATATTTTAAGAAAAAACTATCGCTAAATAAAACGGCCATGTAGGGCTGGCTACTGAACTTGAAAAATGGAACCAAACAAAATAGGGATGGAAGTGGACATATCGCTTGACCGGTTAATGATCACATATCAGACTAAGCTGTCTCAACTTTTACATGGAGAATAAAATCCCAATATTACTGGCTTTCTCACTTTGTCTATCAAAAGCTTGGTGTTTGAAAATAATTTCGGCTTTGATTATTATACCTTTCCTTTAGTTAACTTTGAAATACAACTTTTATGACTATTTTACAATAGAGTAACATTTTACGATTGGAAATTCTGGTTCTATTTGCTTTCTATTTGCTCACTGCCATCCAGTGAGTAAGCCAGTTATATAAGGATTTTATTCTCCATATAAAGTCGAGACGGCTTAGTCTGCTATGTGGTCATTAGCTGATCAAATGATATGTCCACTTCCATTCCGATCTTGTTTGGCTCCTTTTTTCCAAATTTAGTAGACAGCCATACATAGCTTTTTTATTTAGCGATAATTTTTTCCTTATACTTGTTTACTTTTTTTTATAATATGGCGTACATGGGTTTCTGAGTTATAGAGTGTATTCTAAAACTTTATAAATTTTGCATATAATAATAATAAAATAGGTAGTCAAAGACCGTGAAGAATGTTTTGCTCCAGCAAATGATGATAAAATTATAGTTACTGGTATAACTAGGTAAGCGCTAAGCCTGTTGAAGAAAGATGATGATGAACGAAAATAACAAATCTTGGTTTTATCTATTCACTGGTTTTCCACTTTGGTACGCTCTGGATAGCTGAAAAGCGGCATATATACCGATAAGATAGCGACTCTGTCAAATAGCTCTTATGAGCAATGAAGTCAAGTAGCGTTTCATATCTAACTTCTGATGACCTGTAGAGAAGAAAATCCAGATGTATTTTGTATTGCTTTAATACAGGCGTCACTGCCATCTGTACAAAGAGAGTTCTAGCGCACTCACCGACGGTCATGAGTATCAGTATTCTTCCATCCTTTTTGTCTGATGATGAGCTGTTCTTCGTACTCTGTTTGCTTTTACAAATACATAAGGTTCTGTCATATGTTAATTTTACTGTACTTTTAAATTGTATAAAGTAGTATTGAAGAATCTTGTTCAAAATTATCCACGTTTTTTCCAGTTGTTAGAAGAAGAAAAAAGTGAAATAACATGGGAGATTAGAGAGCATGCCATAATACTACGACCAAAAATTAGCAAGGTTGGCAGTTTCATAGTTAGTACAAAATGTATTTTAACCTGCAAACCTTTTTTTTTATGCTATCAATAACTCATTTGCAATGCATATGCACATGAAATAGGCAATGTTATTTTTATGCGTCTAATGTTGTAATATCCTTGGCATAAGTGTTAAATTACACGTTTCCCACGGGTCAGGGAAACCGGGAAAATTTTATATTTCGCGTTCCCGGCCCGGGAAACATCGGGGAATTTTCTTTTATTGACAAAACTAAAAAAAGTCTGTGAATTTACATGATTCAACGATGCTTCTAAAACACGGATGGCAAAAATATATATATTATCATTAGCGCCGAAAAAATCGCATACATAGTAGTTCTGGTGCACTTAATACGTCAATATACGATTTTTTATGTATAAATATTGTTTTGTGTACATTGATCTTTTTATTTTCTGTTAATTGTCATGAGTGTGAAGGCAGCTTTAATAAATTACATAAACAGTAGCTAGGTTCCCGCCTAAACAGGGTATGTGGGCTCTGGACAAGGTTTCGTCTCATATTCCTAAATGTCACGATCCCCATGGAGGATTTTTTCAATGTATCCTAAAAGCTCTTAAATTATTATTTAGAGATAAACTATTTCTCTAAATAAGTTATTTTGATTTTACAAATTTTAGTGTAATGATAAAACGTAGTTACGTCATTAATCATAGAAGTGACGCGTACTACCCTGGTTTGTTAAGTTATTGACACTAAAATTTGTAAAATTTATTTTATTTTATTTGTGCAGGAAAGCTTTGAAAGATGTCGAAACAAAATCGAACAGTTTGAGTATTTCATTTAAAAATGGGAGTTCAAAGATAGAACAAATCTACATAGTTTCGCCGATTTTATAATTTATTCCTTACCTGTACTTAGGTTTATTCAATTAGTTATCAAAAATAATTATTATATAAAATAACGATTTATCAGTAATTTTTGTTTTAGTTCTTTATAAAACAAAATATACATCATTGCGCATTGCCTATAGCACGCGATGTCATGATGTTTAGAACAGCTTGGGCAGGGTTGTTTGATGATATCTCAGTGACAGTTAAGGAAAAGCTGTATAAAGGAAAATATAATAACGTCAGTAATTTTGTAATAATAAGTTTAGGAAACTATTCGAATTAAAAATATTGAAATATAGTGTTCCATTGACAGTAACTGATAATATAGCAGATGTACGAGTTTCTGAACATATGGCTTTATTTATCTGTGAATCTTTGTAGAAATAGTTGAACTTGCGCCGGTGAATAACTGAATACATCATGTTTAACTAATAATCTATATTTTATCAGATTGTATCAGATAATTAAAAAATATATTAGGAAAAATTTACTGTTTTTCAAGCAACAAACAAGATGTTAGGGACAGGTGAGAAGAGAGACTAAAAATAGAAACGAGCATGTACAGCTTGACATAATTGTTTGCTGTTGTTTTCAAACTCTGGATTTTCAGACCACGGTATGTTTCTGAGATCAAAATATTAATTATTATGGAGATTGTGTTGTGTCACTGTTTGTCATTGTGTCTAAATCCAAGGCCCATACCAGAACAAATAAAATGTGAGTACTTTTAGTAAAAGCTTTACTTAGCAGCAGTTTTTGTTTACAAAGCAACATTGTGTCAGAACAGTTTGAAAAACTTGACACCTGAGCGGTGTTTTGCTGTCTGTGGTGAACATTGCTTACAGCAAAATATTCGTGTCTGTGTCACTTCTCGTGGCTTCCACTAGTACCATTATACATCGTAATGGCATAGGATTATATATAATGCAGCTAAAAATGTTGTGAATGTTTTATTAGCAGGTGCAATTCCGTGTATAAAATGTCTTGTATGTGTAATCATTATTTACAACTTCGTTATTTGTAAGTATAAGCTGGTGAGTTCGTGAACGAACAAAACTTGCGTGATCCTTAAAATATTTTCGGTAACGTGATCGATCAATGTATTCATGTTATTTCAAAGATTTTAATACTTTTCATATAGGTGAACTTGATACACACAGGTTCAAAGCACATGAAAAGTAATACGATTTTGTGAATATGTTTTGGTCGATTTTGTGAACGTATGCAGTTGTTTCATAGATATCAGAAATACAAGTTTACAGTAATGTGTGGTTAACAATGAAAGTTTTAGACATTTTTGTGCATGTATGCACGCCATAAAATTTTGCTTTAATATTTGTCATGTCAGAAGTGTACTTGTGAAATAATATTATATTTTACAACAGTTAACATATTATTTCTGTGTATTAAAAGTCGAAACATAATGACCACAAATGTTAAACTCTATAGTGTTGTTTATACTATGATAACATTTTTGTGATTTAAATAAGAATTAAAACGTGATTAGTATACACAGTCATAAACAACTGTAAAACCTGCCTTTGTTCTGTATATTATGATAAAGTGTCAATGATTCTAGAACAGGGAGACTGATCATATTGAAACTTTGCAAAATGACATTAAGCAAACTCTGACTTAACATAAATAATGTTTTGCAGTTTTACATATTATTACAAGTAATAGTTCAACAGATTAGATGGTCAGGGAATAACATATTTTGGTCTGGGAAAAGTTAGGGAATTTCTTTCTGCCCAAGGTTTGTCAAGTTTACTATTCCAACACCTTGGGCAGAACTTGTGGGAACAGTAAACTTGACAAACTATGTGAACTTTGTTTAAATACAGTCAGTGTTTTTTATGGATTTGGTAGATCTTCAATTACAGCCAGACTTGTTTCCAATGGTGGCTTTAAACTTTCACTTGAATGTTGACATTGTTACCTGTATTCTCTTGTAATATGAATCTCTAAACCTATTTCTTCAACTAAAATACAAGGAGATGAGCTGTAGTGAAAACCTAATAAGATAAACTTAGTAGTTTTGTCTGAACAAGATAATAAAATAATTTAGGGTTAATTGAATACACTAAAAATGAAAACCTGCTGTTACTTTGAATTCTTGAAAAAGTAGTAGCATACTTTCCCAGTGCTTTAAAAGAATTCAAAAGAGTAGTATTGGAAACCAATTTTTAAGTCTTAAAAAATTCTAATTAAGGTTTTACCAGTGTAATTTTCTATACACTCGAGTATTCTATATGTAGTCAAAAGTACAGTTTCTTTCTCTTGAAACAGAAATAAAGCAATTGCCGACTACCTAGCCTCTAGTGGCTATATGGAAGCCTTAGAATGTTTGAAAAAGGAAGCAGATATGGTAAGCTAGTCCATTCTGTCTTTATATTCTGATGTCATTAACTTAGTTATTAGACAATAATTAGCTAAACTAAATTACAAAAATTTTTAAGGACCAGCTGAAATCTTTAATATTGTAATTTATTATTCACAAACTCAACTCTGAGAAGAAATCTGATGTAATCTGATTATGGAATAAAGTCATAGAAGTATAAACTGTATCTTTTTTTGGAAAGCATTGAATTAATTGAAGCATTTATTCAACATTTAACCGGTAAAGTTTATTAAAATTCCTTTAATAAGTGTATTAAATCCTTTAATCTCTTTCATGATATGTGGAAATATTGCCCTTGCAAAATTAGGTAATAATCTGCACGATAGGCAACAAAACTTAGAAAAACCATTATTGTACAAGTAAGACACATCTCCAAAACATGGATAAATATACTTCACATTTAAAAACAATGACATGGTACTTGAGAACAAAGAGATATTCAAAAATTTTTTGGGGTGTGGCATATGAATTATAGTTTAGTGAATTCAACATTGTTTTGTTTTTTTGTTGTTGTTGTTGGTATCAAATTTGAAAACTTGTGATAATTTCAAGTATCTTCACTCATAATTAATTTTGGATAACAAAAATTAAATTTATTGATAGAGAAACTTTCCTTTAAAAAGTATGTAGTTTTGCTTTATGAATCTTTGAGTTATAATATTAATTTTGTTATTAAACTATTAAATTTAATGTTACTTTTGTGTAAGTATTGCCACTTCTTGGTTATTCTAGTTAGTAGAGTTGAAGTTCTTCAGGTAACATAAAACTTTAATAGACTGTTAATTATTTCAACAGTTTACAGTCTATTAAAGTTTTATATTACTTGAAAAACTGTTGAAATAATTAATAGCCTATTAAAGTTTTATATTACCTAAAAAACTATTGAAATAATTAACAGTCTATTAATGTTTTATATTACTTGAAAAACTGTTGAAATAATTAAGTCTATTAAAGTTTCATATTACTTGCAATTATTGTTGAAGTAATTAATAGCCCATTAGTTTTATATTACTTGAAAAAATGTTGAAATAATTAACAGTCTATTAAAGTTTTATGTTACCTAAAAAACTGTTGAAATAATTAACAGCCTATTAAAGTTTTATATTACCTGAAAAAACTGTTGAAATAATTAACAGTCTATTAAAGTTTTATATTACCTAAAAAACTGTTGAAATAATTAACAGTCTATTAAAGTTTTATATTACCTGAAAAATTATTTCAATAGTTTTTCAGGTAATATAAAACTTTAATAGGCTGTTAATTATATTAACTGATTCATCAGAATCTGTATCACATTTGAATAAAAAAAACATTCTGATATTAAATGCTAAACATTGCTTCATTATACAATTTTAGACTTACTATTTGATTTGCACCATTATCTTTATGTACTTATTCTTGGTTATAAAAAGGTTTCTAAGTTGGGCTTTCTAATCCCCAAATACACTCAAACTAAAAATGTGGGTTTTATATTTGCAAACCTTTGCTCATGTTTTTTTATTAACCATAAATGCATATCATGCTATCTTAAAGAAAACAACTACCATACTTCAGTGAGTGTTCTTTAACCCTAAAATTATGAATGAGGTCCATCCACTTTATAAGTACATTTTTCAAAACTATTCATGCAACAAATTGCATGTGGACCAATGACTTTGTTGGTTATATGGTCCCTAAAAATATTAATCACACAAGAAAATGTAAATATCATCATCGGTATCATAATTAATCCCACAAATTACTTCTGGGAATCCCCTATGTATTATACATAAATAATTGTTGATTTCATTTATTTTTGTTGTTTTTTTTTTTTCAATTCTTCACACAGAGTGTTGAACCAGATGAAAACAAGATGATGAAATACGTGGATCCCATCGGTAATGAATGGTATATAAATGGTTATTTGAGGGATAAAACAAGCTTTATGTGCAGTGAGATTCAGTTGGAAAAAAAATTCTGCAAAATCATTTTAGTGATTTTAGACTTCTTTAATTTATTTAATTTTACTTTGATTGTTTTGTGGTTGAAATCCTTTAATTTTAGAGATTTATTGTGTTTTTGTATTTTTCTCTTAGCCTGGTGAAATAGACAAGAAATATGTTGGGCTTTTAGAAAAGAAATGGACATCAGTCATCAGACTACAGAAGAAGGTGTGAATGGTACTTTGCTCATAAGAAACCTGAGTGAAATAATAATAAAACTATATATATATGTATGACATGAATAAATGTGCATACATATATATACTGTTTTTCAACAATCAGTAAAGAAAATCATATGTTACCTTATGAGTTTATCTTAATCACTTTGAAGTTACTGTGTTTAAATGGTAATAAAACTTAATAATATTGGTTTTTAAGAAAAATGAACAGAAAATAGTGACATATTCCTGTTTGTCTAGTCTGTTTTATACATCATATTTTATAGTAGTTTTAAGCTTTGAATTTTTAGTTTAATAATTGTCTAATATTGAATACTTGCTGTCATTACTTCATGTTTATGTAACTGTGCACAGATTTATATAGTTAAATACAATATATTTAAATGAATTACAAGTAAACAAAATCACAAGTGTTTTCTACTTCACATCTATCATTATACATGTATTCATCAATAAATGAATATTCATTACTTTACTATTGCAGTTTTTTTGTGTGTGAAAAGGCACAATCTAGAGGTTATGTTGTCAAAAATGTTTTTAAATCCATACATTAATTAAGATATGAAATACATTTTCAGATCCTTAAATAAATATGTATGTAATATATCAGATTCTTGCTTAGAAAACCTTTTATTTTTTCATGTATTTGTGAAAAGCTGTGAACAGAAAGAATGTATAATATTAATGCATTAAAAACCTTCAGATACATGTGAATGATAAAGAAAAACATTCATGTAACAGTTTATGTCATGAAAACATAGTACATTTATTTTTTATATTATTTTTGTTCTTTCTGTTGTTAGATATTTGTATGTAAAAAGGAATTCAAGGAATTTTGATTTAGTATTAATGACAAAAATTGGATTTATGTTTGTCTAACATTTGCTTTGCTTTTTCTAAAGAAATTTTTTCACAACATTCATATCCTTCTTAAAAAATTGGATTTCTGTTTGTCTAACATTTGCTTTGCTTTTCCTAAAAAGAAATTTTTTCACAACATTCATATCCTTCTTACCATGAGCACTGTATTATGTAAATTTCATTACAATGACTTTCTAAGATATGTTTGTATGTGCAGGTTGTGCATAATATAGTTTTTCTATTTATCATATTTAATGTTTATACACACACACACACATATACACATTTATATCTGCATGTAAAATAAAACTAACAATATATAAACCAAACTGATGCACATTTTGCAGGTTATGGACTTGGAAGCAAAGTTGGCAGAAGCTGAAAAAGAATATATTGCTGGTGCTCCAACTCGAGAGAAAAGGTCACCTTCAGAGTGGATCCCTCGACCCCCTGAAAGGTATACTTTAACAGGACACCGTGCTCCAGTGACCAGGGTCATTTTTCACCCTGTATTTAGCCTTTTGGTGTCATCCAGTGAAGATGCCACAATCAAGGTGAGTAATAATCTCTCCAATTATAATTTTTTAAAATCTTTCAGTAATTCCATTATAATGCAACAACAAAGAAGAAAATTCTCATGAAACAGTTCTTTCTATAAACCTTTCAGTAATTATGGCGTAATATCACAATAAAATAGAACAATCACTCCAAGCATACCTTTTCATAAACTTTTCAATAACTCCACTGTGGTGTCAAGTCAAGGTAAATAATCTCTTTCCAATCTGATTTCACTACTTAGATCCATTAATAACAGCATTTTCAATCAGGATTTAAGTAGAGTAATTTATATTTGATAACTTGACCGAGTTTTAAGTTGTGAGAAGTAAATGGGTTGGATATGTTTGATGAACAGTGAAGTCTTTCTTTAAATGCAACAAAAAAAACAGTGTGCGTATCTGCATAGACAAGTGGATGGTTACCTCTACTGAAATGATGAATAGCTTGTCAACTTTCTAACCTTCAAAATAAATCTCTGCTGAACTTATGAAAACTAAGCAGAACTAAACCAAGAGAGTACACCTGAATTCAATAGGTAAACTTGCTTTCTTTGACAATGTTACATCATGAACTTTGTTATTTCACAACATTGGTGAACAGTAGCACTTATACCATGTCAACCTGGCTAGCAAAGGATAGTGCTAATCCTGTCAATCTACATGTAATATGTTACTGCAATATCCTTTCAGGCAGAACAGACATTATCTACTATAAAGGACAAAGAAACAAAGCAACTAGAACAAAATAATCTCAACTTTCTGGGCCATGTTTTTGTGCTGAAACTGTATAGAAACTAACTCAATGAGTTTATCAATAACTCTTTATTTAACTCTTTATCAATAAAGCAGGCAGTAAACATGTGTCTGCATATCACACTTTTCCATCCTCTTCTGTTTCAGTCTTGTTCTTAAGGTCACAGTTAAATTTAACATTCACATTTGCACCATGTTCAAATAGCTTGATCACTTTACTTCATTCCTAAAAATAAATACATGCCATATGGATGTCACAAACCATCTTAAAATAAATTACTCTAACTACAGTACAAGATAAAACTCTTTAACATTGATTTACATACAGAATACATTATAATAATAAAACAAAAGACCTTATAACTGTGTCTTAAAATGCATTGCAATAAAAGAAAAAACCATTAAACATAACTTGAAACATATTACATAATTAAATAATACCTTTAAATGATGAAAGGAACCACTACTAATAAAAAAACAGCAATAGAATATTACATAATACAAAAAAGAAAGAACCTTTCACATTGAAATGCATGAAAACACCCTTAAAGAACAAACATATTAATACTCTTTAACAAGGAACAAGAAATATGCAAGAAGTACACACGCAAGAAACAAAAATAACCTTATAACAATGATAATTATGTAGCACCAAAAGAAAAGGAAACTTTAGCAAAGGTTATTTACAATCTTTAGAAAGAGATAATCTAACAGACTATGCTTAAAACCTCCAATGAATGACATATAAAACACACAATGACATAATGAAAACAGAGCAGAAAGTCAAATCATATACATAAATACTTTAAAATAACCATTTTGTTGTCTTCAAACCAGTTTAAATTTAGCGTAATGAACTTTTCACAGATATGAAATTATTAAAATCATCACATTAATCAAAGCCTTTGATCTAAAAAAGAGTCAAAACACAAAATAGGTATATATATATACATCTGTATATACAAAAAACTTTCCTTTAAAAATATCTACATATTACGTTAATGTTGCTTTTTTAAATGAAAAAAACCCAAATAACT